CCGGCGCCCGTCGACTTCTCCCAGCTCGACCCCGGCAAGCCCGAGAGCATCCTGAAGATGACCAAGAAGGGCAAGACGCTCATGATGTTCGTCACGGTGTCCGGGCACCCCACGGAGAAGGAGACGGAGGACATCACCAGCCTCTGGCAGGGCAGCCTCTTCAACGCCAACTACGACGTGCAGAGGTGCGGGCGCGGCTCTGCGGGGCCGGCGGGCCTCAGTGGGGGCCCGCGCAGACCCTCCTGTGGCTCCGGACCCCGCCCCGAGTGGGGGGGTGCGGGGGACATGGGCGCCACACCCGGCTGCGTGGTGCTGACCGCCGGCTCCCGCAGGTTCATCGTGGGCGCGGACAGGGCCCTGTTCATGCTCCGGGACGGGAGCTACGCCTGGGAGGTCAAGGACTTTCTGGTGGCCCAGGACCGCTGCGCTGACGTGACCCTGGAGGGGCAGGTGTACCCCGGCCGGGGCGCGAGCAAGGACGGGAACAGGGCCCAGCGGCCGGCCGGTCAGCGGAGGGAAGACCTGTGAGGCCCACCGCGGCGTCCAGCCCCCTCCCAGAGGACCTGCGGCAAGCCCGCTTCAGCCAGCGCGGGGCTGGCCGGCGAAAGGCCTCAGGTGGGGGACAGGTCAGTGATGGACGCTGCCCGGCGTCGGGCTCCCAGGACCGAGGCCCCGTTGGGTGGCGTCCGGACCCTGCGTCCCTGGGCCGGGTCCTTCCTGGCAGGTGGCCCGGCCCCGCGCCGGGGCCTCCGCGCGGCGTCTGGCGTCGGGATCTGTCTCCCGGAGCCCAAGGCGTCCTTGGCCCTGCCGCGGTGTCCACTGTGGGGATGGAGCTGGCGTCCTGCTCACCCCCAGCGTGGGGCCCACAGCCCTGCCCCCGACAAGTGCCTGCTGGGCGGCGCCCGGGCCACTCCGGCTGCTCTCCTGCTCTCCGGCGAGGTGGTCCCGACCAGCCGCCCCGCCCGCCGTGGACATGGCCAACAGGTGTCGCCTCTGAGCCCGGACACTCACGAGACGCCTCCGCTGTGATCGTAACAGAATAAACCGCACGTGTCGCCCAGCCACACGGGGTCTTTGCTGCGGGCGCGTCCCTGACCCGGTGCCTGCCCCACGGCCCCTCCCCTCATCTGCAGCCCAGCCAGGGGCGCAGGGGCCGGTCAGGGCAGCGGACACGGCGCTGAGGCTGCCTGGTGCTGGCCAGGCGGGGCCGGGGGCAGGTGGCGGGACAGACGGCGGCGGGGGTGCGTGGGGGGGAGCCCTGGGACCCGCCCCAGCGGAGGAGCTGCTGGGAGGAAGCTGGGACTGGGTGGCGTCTGGCCGCTGCCCGCAGGGGCCCGGCCCCAGGCCTGCGCACTCTGCCTGCTCGGCCTTTGACCCTGACGGCGTGTTTGCTGGTCAGTGGGCCCAGCTGGCGGGAGACTGGCCTGGGGACCAGTGGGTGGCCCCACAGGCGCCCCACGGTGCTGGGTCACCGCCACCGCAGCGGCCAGGGAAGGGCTGGCGCCGCACCCGGGAGTGGACCGTCCTCCCTCCCAGCTCGTGATGGGCAGGGGCCCTGCGCCCACCCCAGGGAGGCTGTGCCCCGTGGGGCAGCGGAGACGGCCGGGAGCTCGCTGCACTGCCTCTGCGGGGGGTCAGCTGCCGGGGTGGCGCCGTGTGGGCCCCGCCCGCTGGCCTGGCCTCTGCCCAGACTGAGGGCACGTCCTGCTCAGACTCTACTCTGAGCCTTCCGGAGCCCAGTGACCGCAGGTGACCACGTGGGCATCTGAGCGACGCTTTGTGTCCCCTGCCAAACCCGGGTCCGAGGGCACTGGCCGTCTCGGGCTGTGAGGTGCATGTTGCCGGGCACCCGGTCTGGTCACCGGGACCTGCCTTGTGCCATCACTGCGGCGGGGGGCTCAGGCCCGCCCCCGGCTGCCCCATCTTGCCGGTGCCGCCCCTGCCCGACTGCCTCCCCATCTGTAAGGGACCCCAGAAGCGAGTGCTGTGGGAGGCAGATGCCTCACCCTGGCCAGCCAGCTGCCGGCCGCCGCCGGGGCTGCGCTCCGGGCACGCCCACTCCCGCCCTGGCTCAGCTGTGCCGCAGGCGTGTGATGCCCGTCTCTGCCCTGTCCTCAGCGCCACGGCACTGCTTTCCCTCAGCCTGCTGCCCCTGCGGGCTCCCCTTTTTGCAGCCGGACGCCCCCCCAGACTCTGGTGCCCAAACCCGCTTCTCAGAGTTGTGCCGGTAGTGGCCAGGCCCGCCTGGCCAGTTGCTGGGCTGGGCGGCCCCTCCTCACCCTGAGGGCGCGGCCCCGCCCACCCGGGCC